TCCCACAAAAAATGTAGGAATGCTGCCACTTTGAAGGAAACAAGTAGTTAGCGTGTTTGAAGGATCGAGTTCGAGTTCCCGTTCATTTTAGGTCTAATGAATTGAGTTTCCTGCCACAGATTCTGCATCCCTGCGTGATGTGGGGAAATGTCATTGTCACTACAAGAGTCGGCCCCTGCAGAACTTCCTCCTCTGCACCTCCTTAGCCACCTTCCCCTCATCCTCATCTTCCTACCTTTTCCCGTCTTCCCATGATTTTTCCCTCACTCTCTTGAGGGCACTGGAACGAGGGTGGAAATTTAGGTTGCGTATAGCGGGAAAAGGTAACAATCGACCAACTTTCTTTGCGACTCTGCCAAACTTCTATCAAGTCAGAGGCGGTCCGATTAGGTACGACCTCCCTGATGGGATTCTCGAACTGATGCTGTACCCTGGTCCTAATTATGGCGTACTGATTCAGTGTTAGAAACCAAAGGGGCTTTACTTAGGGTACTTCCGACGGCTTTCTGCTGCTAGCCGCTATGTTCTTCACTATCTATTCAACTACTCCAGCCCAATAGCTGCTATGTTCTTCAGTAGCTAACCAACCACTCCAGCCAAGGCTTACGCCTACCACACAGAAGGTAAGACTCATCTCTCAGATTGATCTTTCAGGTAGGGCACGTCGTACATTACAGAGATCCCCGAAGGTGCTTAGTGGCTAAAGGGGGGGGGGGGGGTAGCTGCTTCTGAAAAAAATGTTTTTTGGTTGTTGACTTTTGCTTTTTTTGTCTTTTCGGGAGTGAGTGCGCTATATCACCCTCCCCGCTCAACGACAGTTTTTTTTGGAAAACATGGAGAAATTGCAAGGAAAAAATCAAGAAAATTAGCAATAGCTGGAAATCCCGGAGAATAGCATGAGCCGGAAAGATAGTATTTATGTGAAACTGAGAGAGGGGGAGTGCGCGGGACCATCGTGCCCGAGGGGAGAACTTCAAGAGGGAATTGTCACACTTTGCGAAAATTCTCCCCAACGGCAGGTTATGCGATGCTTATGTAGTGAGCAGTCCCTACGAAACTCCGACCGCTTTGGTTCCAAGCCTGAGCCTTGACTGTGAGGAAGACGTTGTGGGCGCTGTTTATCGACGGGGGGGGGGCATTCTGCTTTTCATAGATTTGCCAACCCATCTAGGTACCCTTTTTCGAGTTGACACGTTTTAGGATGGTGGCTAGACGATCTTGCTCCAGCTTCACAAGCGTTCACAAGTTTTACCAGAGTAAACCGGAACCAGGGAAGCAATTATAATACAAAATGCCCCCCCCCCCCGTCGATAAAAAGCGCCGACGTTGCGATGTGTGTCCTGCAATGCGATATTGCCCAGCTTCAAGTTTCGATCCCACTATTAACGGCTAGTAATCATGGAATGTGTCTTTTAGGCCCTGAAATGAGGCCTAAAACGGCCCATGGGAATGTTGCTTGTGGCAGAAGCTGCATTACAAAGAACTTTACCAGAAAAACATGAACTGATATGCAGAAACTAGACTTTTAGAAATCTTTATCGTACTCGTCTGGAATGGACAACCGTGCGCAACGTGCATACAAACTACAAAATGCGAATCACTAGAGTTATGGAGCATAAGGACACTTGGACAACTTTACAATATTTAAATTAAAAGGCATTTCTTTTTCTTTGTTTTTCTGGTCAACAATGAGGAGAAGTGACTGTGTTCTGAGCAATGTTAAATATCAGGCACAATAGAATAGATTGTCATATTAGGAACAAATTACATTGTTGATAATACACAAACAGATTCAAGTCTGTTACAATCTATAACCAATAATAATTATCACATTTCGGGATGACTTCGGGAAGAAATCGAGGGTGAAGACACTGATGCATAACAAAGTCGTGCATGAATTTCTCTTTACACGTCCGAAATTTCATCTGGATGTGCTTCGAAAACGGGATTTTCGAGCAGAATATTTTTGTCCTTCTCCACTTTGGTCGGTCGAGGAGGTACCACCGGTTTTGTTGTGAGTTCCGCTCCCGTAGCTGAAATTGGAAAAGTTTACAACGTTCGCTAATACACTAATCGGCTTTATAGGTTCAGTCCAGTTAGTATTCACTGAGAGATATTTATCTCTACAGGGACTTGCTTTCGTCGAATTAACTCCTTCAAAGGCAGTCCGGGCTGGTCAGGTAGGAGGAGTCAGTTGACCATTGTCCCCTCTTATTGTTGCAAGCATCCACTTCACGGTCATGAGGGCGCAGCAATGGCGAAAGCACTCTGGAACACTCGACCCTAGCCATATGAAGAACCGCGACTGCATGATTAAGAAGCTCATGGGATCGGAAGGAACCGTAACGAACCTTATGGGGCCCTACAAAGTGCTGTCGGAACACTGCAGCCCGTCGCTGCAGCGAAGACCTTTCACATAGAGAAGAACGACGTCACCAGAGACTGAACACCACGCTGGTGCAGCTCCCGATCGTTTACGAGGTGCATCACTGTCAGACGGGGCCACGCTGGTACTACATGTACCTCCTACGAGTCATGCATCAATAAGCAAGTCAGGCACTAGTAACTTGGTGAGGGAGGGATGACTAGGGGGGGGGTGCATTTGAGGAACTCTTTGTGCAAAACTAGAACCACCACAATGAAGACAGGGACTTCTGCTCTCAACCGAAAGGAAATGGGTCTTGGGTGAACCTATCTGAAGCACATTAATTCCACTTGGATGACCTCAATCAGCACGAGTCCCTCGAATGCCCCCTCCAAGCTCATCAGCGCTACAAGTCAGTATGTTTCGTTTTCACAATATGGCAATTGATAATGTGCACAATTGCGGGGTGACTTATACGGGTGGCTTATGCCCCAAATTCCTCAGTTGCGGTAGGCGTGGCTGAGTACTCTCCACCCCAAATTGAAATGTCCCAAGGCACAAGCTATCCTACGTCGTGTTCAAATGAAGTACGCAGCCACACCCACCATTGCTCAGGATCTCGAGCTCGCCTTTCCTCCAAAACATTAACAGAAAGGGGGGGGGGGGCAGTACAACCGTGAAGCGCAAGAATATACACAGTCACGAAGACAACTTCAAATCTTGAAAGATGAGGTACTATACGTAAACCCGTCCTGCTAATATCTACTGTCTTATGAGCTAGGATTATTTCAGCCAGGAGGCTAGTGATCAGAAGAGGTGATCAATCGAGAGAAAATGATTCAGTTCAAATTTGGATATAAAAATTCCTTGATGGAAACCTACCTATGACATCGTCACCGGTTCGATTTTGTGAGCGGAAACTCGCTGCTCGTGAGGTGGATGGTGTATTTTCTAGGTTTGACATCTCAGTGCTGTCCGTTTCCAGATCGTACACCGGATTTGAGAACGTTGTTGAACCAGGTTCAGAAGTTGTGATTTGATGCATACTGTACTCTATGGGATGTGGATCCTGAAAACGCAGAGGTAAGGAGTTACGGTAAGGGGGTAGTAGATAAGTTTAAGCAAGTTCACTACAGCAACTTGAGTGTAACTTTGGATGAAGAGATAACTTTATGCACACCTGTTTGCTATCCAAAGCAGGATTACTAAAGGAAATAACATTTCCATGGAACGATACGCTGCTGTCAGCTGCTTCGTTCTTTTTCGATAGAAGCGTTCGCTTCCTGAAAAAGGTATACGGTATCAGCTGTGAGGTGAATAACGAATTAATAATTCAGAAGGCCAACAAGAAGAGGAGTGTTCCCCCTTACCCTCACTCCCTAATAAAGGATGACTCGGAACACACCGTTTCGTAGTTTCACAAAAAAATGAGCCCCTCCCCAGACTTGCTCCCCTGTTACAAGTTTTTAGCAAAATATGACCAACCTCCCGAATTTGGTCCTTTAGAACAACTTTAGCGAATATGACCCCTCCCAAAGTGCTCTCCTTGTTCTTGCCTATCCCATCTACCGTCGTCTCTTCTCCCAACCCGAAATTTTGGCGTAGGGGTCGAAGGGCTGAAGATACCCTCAGGTCAATAGTCAAAAATAGCAGTTTCGTACCGGCGCCGGAAAAACATTTTCTAGCAACAAAATACGGCCTCTCTCTCCCCAGTGGCCAAAATACGACCCCGCTGTTTTTCTACATAACCGATGGTGAACCCTGAATGAACCAGCAAAGTAGTACCTGTACAAGTTAACACCAACAAAGCCGACGAGACCAATACAAGCGATTAGTGCCAGGAGAAGGAACAGAGCCAGCAATAGATTCTCCGAAATCCTTCCAATCAACTGAAACATGAGCGAGAATTGAATCGAGAACGGATAAATTTTCTCAATTTGTGAATAGTGTGATGGCGCAGTTCGGCGAGGGGGGGGGAGATCATTATGCACTTTTGATGCTTCCCATCCACGTGTCGACCCATCTAGAGAGCCTTTTCGTGAGTTGACAGGTTTCACCATTGTGGCTCGATGAGCTTGCTCCAGCTTCACAGGAGTTCACAGGTTTCATCAGGTAAAGTATGCAAACCGGAACTAGTGGAGCAATGAAAGTGCAAAATGCCCCCTCCCCGTCGCCGAACTGCGCTTCGTGTGATAATGTGCTGAACATGAATTTGACTGTCTCGAAGGCACTGGAAGTACACTCTAGTTCGCTGCGGATGAAGGGGCGTGTCAGGCAGAATGAGTGTGCCACGGCGCCATTCTCGTTCTCTGCTAGTTGTTGAAGCGGGTATGCGACAACAACTGCTAGAAAACGGGTGACACGAATGATATGACACAGTCTTGTGACTTGCTCCCTCCGAAAATAGGTGGAGAACGGGTTTGGCACCGCGCCAAACTCATCCTGCCTGCCACGCCCCTTCGTCCGCAGCAAACTAGACTGTAGCTATTTGCAATTCACCAACATTTTCAGGTCTCTTTCAAAATCTCCTCTCTTCTACACTATCAAATAGATTCCTGATACTCTTTTGGCTTACCTTTCTGCTGACAGTATTCGACTTCTCACAGTTTTCGCCTTCGAAATCTGACGAACATTCACAGCTTCCATCCAATCGGCATCGTCCACCGTTCGTGCATGTACACTGTTTCGGCATAATTAGGGCGTCTACACGTGCAACAGGACATGAGCCGTCCTGAAAATCATTTCTGATCATCTCCTGTTCATATGGATCATTTCTAGACTTTTACGAAGGCAACGATGCCCTACTCAAGCACACATACACCACTTTAATTTTGGCTCTACAAGCACATCTGTACTGATGCTTGCTATGACATAACTGAAGGCACAGTCCACAATGATCGTTTGGGCGGAGCAATGGATGATGTCACAAGTATCATTATGCTCTCCTGATTGGCGCGTCCTTTCTCTCTGCTGCTGAGAGGGAAAGACTGACCAATAAAAAGGCAGAATGATTGACTGTCCCTGCCCACGCTGCTCCCCGTACAAACGGCATGGTCTGTGCCTTGCACTATCTACAACTTTTCCGCTAACCTCATCGAACCACTCCTCTACTTCCGAGTATTGCTCTTCCTTGGACTGCTACATACAGTCATTATCATTTACGATAAGGAATGACCTTCACGAAATTTTGTAAACAAAAATGAGAACACCACTAACCGTGCCAGGGAAGACATTCTCAGGGCAGAGACAGGCGAAACCATCATTTGGTAGCTGAACGCAGATGTGACTGCATCGAGCCTCAGCGCAGGCACTCTTCGCCCGTAAGGTGTCGCGGGCATACCTGAAGTAGGAGGAAATCATATGATTAACCGGGGGGGGGAGGTGATCTGCGAGGTAGGCGGAGTCTGGGAGATGAGATAGGCGCTTTGCGTCATAGTACTACGTTCATACTTTGCAGCCGCCTCTTGCGCTAGTAAGAAAGTATCTACCTCTAGGTAGGTCTCTAGGACTACGTGTCGATTCATGGCGTGATGCTGCGCTCAGAATGCTGGCTTACGCCCAAAATGCT